GACTCCAGAAGACAAAATAATGGGCAGAAGTCACTGCAGGGCTGATACCGGCTCAGTAAAGTAACTTTCTCGTGGCCGAATGGCTTTATAAAGTAACGAGCTTCCCATCTTTAGAGGCATTCATGCTGCGACTGGAGGAATTCTGCTCCAGGATGTTGTAAAGGGAACAGAAGTGTGTGCTTGGCTTAGACCACCTCTCCGGTCCCTTCCAACCCCCACAGGCTATGATTCTATGAAATTTGACGTTTCTACAAAACCTGTGCCTTGTGCCTGAGAAGGAAAGCTAGAATCTGATACAAAAGAAATTTGACTTTAGATATAAGCATTATATTTTGACAGCCACTTTCTTTTACAATTACATGGCATTGGTTAAGAAGGTTCAGGCATTGTCTACCTCAGATTTCCGTGGCAAAGAGCTTTGAAGCCCATCTCCCACCCCAGAAGTGGAGCTTCTCTAGATGAGCTTTAAGATTCTTGGTACCAGAGCGGGGACCAGGTCCTGGGTTCAACCTCCCGTCCAACTGCAAGAACACAACACAGACTCACCAGGACATGGAAGCTGAGACCCGTGCTACTCTCTCCTGCCACCTGCTGGCCCTTCCCTTCATCTCTGGTTTCTCCACTGGTGGTGTGCGCTCAGGATAATTAATACATTTCCAGGAGGCCGTTGCCACCCAGAATCCCCTGGAGTGTGTGCAGGGGAGCTGCCTAAAAGGGTAAAGCTTGGATGACTTCCAGTGGATCTTGCTAAATCTAGGAAAACCATAAATTCACAGACAGTGAGGGCTGCAAGAAACCGTGGTACTGGTTCTAACCCAAAGCCCTCAAACTGATAGCTCATGGGCAATGGACAGCCCACAGGCAGACCTGGTTTGGTCCAGCAATGTTAAATTATTTTGACCTAACATACAAATTGGGAAATTTGACTTAAAAATCAGGTTTCTAATGTAATTTGCTACTGGATATCAGAAGTCTCAAAGCTGAGATTGGCAAGTAGTTAGTTGAGTACATCCATGTTCTAGTTGCAAGACACACCGATAACCAGATTACAATGGTGCCTGTCACAAAAGACCCTACCCTTGGCCCATGTGGAGGATTAAGTGGTGACCTTCCTTAAATCTACCTTTCTAGCCTCTGCCCACTTTGGGAGAAGCCAGCTGCCGGGGAAGGGGGTGGGGAGTGGGAATGGAGGCTGCGTTGGAAGAGGCAGAGTGAAGAATCAGACCTGAGCCAGAAAGTGGGTTGATGTATTGAATTATATTTGTGATTTCAAGTGTGATTTAAATTAGACTGGGACTTTTAAAAAATATACAGATATATAGTTTTATTGATTTCAGAGAGGAAGGGAGAGGCAGGGAGAGAGAGAGAAACATCAATGATGAGAGAGAATAATTGACCAGTTGCCTCCTGCACGCCCCACTCCGGGGATCCAGCCCACAACCCAGGTATGTGACCAGACCTGGAATGTGACCTGGATGTGACCTTCTGATTCGTAGGTTGACGCAGGCCAGGCCGAGACTGGAACTTTTAATATGTACAAGGAAGTTATCATTTTAAGATGGAACTGTTCCTGTATTGAGAAGTGATCAGAAAGCCACAGAATCTGGCCTATTCATCCAAGATGCCATTAAAGGGTTGGGAAGGGAAATCAGAGTACTGAAGAAAGTGACTGCGGAAAAAGCCATTTCTTTTTTCCTTGCCCTATCAAGTTCAGCCCGTCAATGAATTGGTTACTCATTGGTTTCCCTTTACACTGCATTTCCCCATGGCAATCCTTAGCCAGAGCAGAGGAGCAGCTGTCCTCCTTAGCAGAGGTAGGAGCTCATGCAGGGTGTATGCGGACACTTGCTCACCTCGCCTCACCAGCCCTCATGTCCCTAACCTGCCTGATCCTACAGCACTGGGATTGATAATCCTTGATCGAGTCCTATTCTACATTTTCCAGTGGGCACAAGGAAGCCTGGAGGGGACCAGTGACTTGTCGAAGTCAGACAGAAAAGCAGCTGAGTTGTACTCTAAAATCCATGCTCCTGAAGGCAAAATCCGGGGGTGGAAAGGTATATGGCTACCTTTGCTTCCTTCTACTGTGTGCAGCCGCACCCACACTAGATCCTTCCTCCCATCCTTCTGACCCGGTAAGAAGATGTACCAGGACACTGGGTAGCTAAGGGAGCAGACTGAGGGTGGGAGAGAGAATCAAAGGGAAGTTGGGGCGGGGACATCTTCAGTTGCCCGAGGCCAGTCCTGTTCCCACCACCTCCAGCCCCACCCTGAAGCACAAACAGATGAAAGCAAGTGGCCTTCTTCCTGTCCCTGGATCATTCTCCACTGAAGCCAGCTTTTAACTGGAGTACAGGCGCTTACTCAGAGACAATCTGTCCTGTGACTTGGTGCACAAGCAGAGGTTGTGTAGGGTGGGGACACCACGGCACTCCTAACCAGCCCCAGCAGCCAGGTATGATGTCTGGGAAGTGGCTGGGCATTTTCTCTTGGGTTAAATGCCCCAGGATGCAGAAGCAGAGAGAAGCCCCTCCCGCCTCATTCCTTAGCTGAGTCACTGGTACATCCAGGCAAGAATCCCCAGGCTCACTGAGTCCAGATCTAGAACTGCTATCTTTAATCAAACAAACAACCAGTAATAGTGGTTGCCTCCAAGAAGGGAAGCTGTAAACACTCATCACCCTTTTCTTCTTTGAAGTAGACTTTATTTATTAAATATATTTTTATTGGCCCCAGAGAGGAAGGGAGAGGAATAGAGAGATAGAAACATCAATGATGAGAATCATTGATCGGCTGCCTCCTGCACACCCCTCACTGGGGATTCAGACTGTAACCTGGGCATGTGCCCTGACCGGGAATCCTACCGTAACCTCCTGGTTCATAGGTCAATGATCAATCACTGAGCCAAGGTAGCTGGGCTCCACAGCTGGTTTTAAATGTGGCAGCATACTGCTTTCCACCAGCAGAAGAGGGACCAAGTGGGAGGGGCTTCCCTTTGGGTGTGCGGGGCAGGAACATGGACCACCTTCCCCCTTCTTATTGAAAAGGGGAATGTCTTCTAACCATCGCACCAGAATAAAGCTTTTTCTGTAACCAAATTTAAGCTCTATTTCAGACCTTCCACCCCTTTTTAAAGACACTTAAAGCAATCCTAATTTTGAAAAGTTATGTAAGCCTCACTGATGCTGAATACATTAACCATAAAATAAAAATTTCAGGCCCGGCTGGGGTGGCTCAGTGGTTGAGCGTCGATTCATGAAACAGGATATCATGGTTCGATTCCTGGTCAGGGCACATGCCTGGTTTGCAGGCTTGATCCCATTGGGGACATGCAGGGGCAATCATCAGTGATTGTCATCATTGATGTTTCTATCTCTCTCTCCCTCTCCCTTCCTCTCTGAAAGAAATATATATATATATATTTTAAATTTCAGTTTTGGAGGAATGTATTATAATGAAGTTAAGAGCTTCACAGCTGAAGAGAATTCTGGCAAAGCTGAGCTAGGTAAATGGGCACTGCCTCTAGTATTTCTCTCTACCTTTTTAAGTCTGTAATTATGACCTGTTGACCCTGAATTTGACCAGAGTGAAAATGGTTCAAGACCAACAGAACAGCCTGTAGCACCTGAAAGATCCTTCTCTCAAAAGCATGTCCCAGAGACGATAAGCAAATGTTAGTCTTCTCTATGCAAGGCAAACTGCTGAGGCAGAAACCAAAACACCAGCCAGAGCGCAGGCAGCTAAGGCCTCATCTAGGCAGGATGTGAAATGTCAGGCCATTCGTCTTATATTTTTACTGCGTGGTTACAGGATGGGCTTGATGTGGGAATGAAAAACAATACTGACTCGGGAGAATTCCTTCTTTTTTTCAGCCTTAAATATTGACACCCACTCACCAGGTTTGGAAACTAGCAAAAGCTACACGGGCTTCTAGGGTGAGCATTCATTTCCCTTGGCCTCCATTTCCTGGCTGTCCACAAAGGCAGAAAATGCCAAGTCAGCGCCAATCAGTGCATGCCAACAGCAGAGGGCACAGGCCTGTTTCTTTTCTTTTTTTGTCAGTCCTCACCCGACCGAGGATATTTTTTTCCATTGATTTTTTTTTTCCAGAGAGACTTGTTTCTTATTTCATTTGGCTACAGTGCCGAACTATAGTCACAACCACTACGGTAAAAAGCTGAGTTCCTCCAATAACTGCTACAACCATGAAATCAGAAAGACAAATGAAGCAAACAAATGAGACAAAAAAACAGAGGTGCACACATTCTAACGATAAACCATAGTTAGTTAATACATGGCATTTGATAGGTATTTGTATTTTCAGTATACTCCTGAGTCCAGTAAGTATACTTATGCATCTCTACATTTTTCCATATGAAAAGTCTGGTTTCAAACTATATTCCCCATGTAGAATAATTTACTGAAAACCTTGAATCCCAGAATTCTAGTAGCTAAGGCCATTAAAACCAAAAGGATGCAGGTATTGACTGCCCTGATTAGTGCAAAATATAATCCAAATATAATGCCGACTAATAAATATTTAAGAATTCAAAGATGCCTTTACAGCTGGGAGAATGTTTCTGTGGCTCTCTCTACCCCAATACCTTTCTGAGTGACGTTAGAGTATGCGCTACCACAGAAGGGGTGAATGTATTAACACAACACAGGTCTAGAGCCACTACCTTCACCAATGGCATCATTCCAACAAGTCTTCATGTTGGCAGCCTCACCCTGGTGAAGACCTCAGGCAGAACCTGGGGCGGGGTTAAATTGTAAACTTCAAATCCTGACCCTTGCGCTCCAGGTTCCATGGTTCTCTTCCTGGAATCCCTGGGCAATTTTCGCTTTACTCTAATTGCATCTTCTCCTTTAAAGAAGCAAAGCTCAGTCTGAATGTATCATGTCAGGCAGCCAAGGACCTCCTTCTCCCTACTCGCACATCCTGAGACTGAGTCTTGGAGGAGAAAGGTGAAAACCCACACACATACACGCACACTTGGTTCTACTCAAACTATAAGCTTTATTGCATTTTACATATCACTCATCCAGGACATGGTAAATAGGCAGGTGGCACCATCTCACTCGCAAAATGACACAATGCACATCAAGTCTCTTGCTCCAGGTGAGGCCCACGTGTGTCCAGCAGAGAAGAGCTCCCACTTCGCGACGCTGGAATGTGAGCCTGTCGGGCGCCAGCAGTGCTGTCCTCCTTTCTGCGCCTTCACATACATTTAGCTTGGACTTTAAGTTCTTAATTTTTCTCTTACAGTTTGATTGTTTCACAATCTACTTTAAATCAAAAGGTCACGCGCTCATTCTTGTAAGATTGTTCTGAGTATGGGATTTGTCACACACAGTACACACGTGCTTCAAATCAAACAAAGAGAAGGCTTCAATCTCACAGCTCAGGAAGGCTGGGCAAGTGTTCATTTCTCCATCCTGCTCAGTTTTTCCCATAACCTGTTCTAGCCTGGAAAACGAGCGTCCCCTCTCGGACAGATGGGACCGTGGGAGGAAGAGCTGTTTTTAAACTGGAGGCGAGAGCGGAACTCTCCCTTTTTCATCTTGCTGTATGCATGGCCCCCCTTCCTTCCTGAGTGGGGAAAACCATTGGCACTAAACAGTAAAAAAAAAAAAAAAAAGGCTCACCAAACCCATGCTTCAAAAAGTTAAAACAATATAACAAGATATTGTAAGGGTTCGACTACAGCCTATGGCCACCTGCTAACGCACAAACCTTCCATGTTGGTAAACTGCCCAAGCACTGTGACAAAGCTCTCTTGCCCAAAGACTGATCTAGATCCACAAAGGCGTTTAAGAAACGAATTCTAAAGCTCCAGGAATATAACAGAGCAGTTTGTGAAATAAATGACAAAGTGAACCTCACCTGCATGCAGATTCTGTAACAGAATACAGAAACTGGAGACAGCTGGAAAGAGAAATCCTCAGGATGTACAAATCTGATCAAGGGCACAACTCATAAAATACCACTCATTTGGAATTTTCCGATAGGAAGTTACGGAAACATGCCAACGGCAAGAAATGAAATGACTTCAGTGCCAAGAGTCTGACCTGTTGACACTGAACCAATGTTCTCAAAAGAAAAGATCCCTGCTTTCTCTGGGACTGAGACCTGAGGGGAAAACTCCCCAGCTCACAGGTAGAGGCGGCCAGAGGAAATCAGCACAGAGCAGCTGAAAAGGCTTGAGCTTCGAATTCAACTTGGAGAATTCAGAAGAGAGGCCCCTGACATTTAAAAGCTGAGTTATAGAACATTTAAAATTTGGACCCTCGGGTCGCTTAAACTACTGCAAAAATACATGTGGTTTCCAAAAGCTCTATCTACATATGCTGTGATGTGGGGTACAGAGTCCTTCAGAAGCAGTAGGAAGATGAGGAGACACAGGTGACGCTGGAGGCAAAATCTCCCCCTTTTCAAGGTTGCAGCAGAGTGTTAAAGAAGTGCCTCCAGGAACCAGGCAGGACAGCACAGGTACTACCTACACCAAGCATGTCAAACTCAAAGGCTAACACGAGCCAAATAAACAAGGCATGCGGCCTGCGGGCCGTAGTCTGACATGCTTGACCTACACCCAATCAACAGTGTGTCTGGGAAAGGTCATCCACTTTGACCCAGTGGGCCTCTGGGGAGAGATGCATCTATCAGTGAGAGAAGATACCCTCGTAGAACCAGCCAGATTGAACCTATGATAGATAACTTTTTTGCTTTGTTTTTATAGCCAGAGACTCTCCAAAACCATCTTAAGGATAGGAATTACAAGCAAATTCTAACAATGTCTTTCCAAATTAAAAAAATATTCTTTATTATTATATATTTAAATCACAGAACTCCAGGCTGAATATCATTAGACAAACACACACACAATTAACTTCTGGAATTGTCTCCCACACTCTGTCTCAAAATTTGGCCAACTTATGCCTCCGGGAGTTTTCCAGTTCATCCCCAGACCCCAGCTTGAGATAAATACAAACACTGGAGTCTTCTGGCTTTAGCCACAGTCCCAGGTGCTATTACAGATAGATCTGTTGGAGGTGACTGCTGCTGGGTTAGAACAAGAATAAGAATGCTACACGTACAGTTCTGGGTGTGGTTAAAATGTGAATCTGTATGCCTCCTGGCCTGCAGGCTTTGTTCTTTTGTTTCTTTCTGCTGGGGTTCTCTTACACACTTCAATAAAAATATATCTTCTATTCAGAATCACACTGGAAAGCAGGTGGTTTGAATGAGCAGTCCTGTTACATAATAAGTTACTGAGTCTACAATGGAGAAATCTGAACTCTGGGGTTACAATTCAAAATAAATATTATTCCAGGGTAAATAAACAAATTACTTGCTTGGCTGGCTAGTGAAATGCTTACTTCTTTTTAAAAATATAATTACAACATGGACTTTTGCTTTATGCTGTATTCCAAGACAAAAATCACAACCTACATCGATTCATAGAGCCTCCCTTAGATTTCTGAGACATGACTCCAGGGCCTGGAAGCTGTAATCTCTGAGGCCTGGGTTACTTGGTGCTCAGGTAAAAACTGCCACACAAGGCCAACCTGGATTAACACCAAATATTTCTTTAAGTCTGATGGTACCTAGAAGGAGGCCCTCACTCAAACAATGAGGATGCAGAAAGTGGAAGCTAGGGCAAGCTGATTGTTGAGGACAACTCTGCTATTTGACTCAGACAACACAATGGAACATGAATGAAAATATCACTATCATCTTCAAAACTCACTATCATCTTTTTCTAATCAGGAATTCGACGGTGAGAGGAACATTCCTATATATTGCTCACCAATACATTCTCCTTAATAGAAGTGAAGCTATTTTAAGAATATAAAAAGCTTTTCAAGACATCTGTTTTCAGGGATTAACCACAGTACCAGAAATACTTTTCAGAGTTGGTTCGTTCTAAAGTCTATCCCAAGAAAAAGGGCAGCCAACTTTCGTGAGCTACCAAGACATGTTCGGGCACAAATATTTTCACTTTCCTAAAGTTATACACTGTCTTCAAGTCCAACTATATCTGATATATATAGGTACATATCTTATCCTTTTCTGTCAGCAAAAAAAGGAACACCTTTAAAAAAAATTTCCAAGTTGGTATTTGTATAGACTGAGGTTGTTTGTTTTTCATAACTCAGAACATGGATGACATCAAAACATCTGCAACTGTCCCTAAATTCACATCTTTAAAAGGTCCATCTCTCCATTCACATGAATTCATCTGAATCGTTGCCGTCCTGTAGGAAACAAAAAAGTGAAACCATAAAAGTCTTCAAAAATATGTAACTCGATTTGTAAAATTTACAATTAAGTCTTAAGTAACAACCCTCCTTATGCCTAACTGTAGAGTTCAGAAAGGAAAAAGTAAAATAATTAAACTCACTCATCACTTCTCTATCTTAAATTGTTAATTGTTTAGAATAGGTTGTTAGCAGTTATAGGAGCAGTGGTTCTCAACCTTCCAATGCCGCGACCCTTTAATACAGTTCCTCATGTTGTGGTGACCCCCAATTTCATTGTTATAAATTGAACATAATTAAAGCATAGTGATTAATCACAAAAACAGTATGTAATTATATATGTGTTTTCTGATGGTCTTAGGTGACCCCTGTGAAAGGGTCGTTCGACCCCCAGAGGGGTCGCGACCCACAGGTTGAGAACCACTGCTCTAAGGTGTCATTACGTGGCCTGGATTACACGACAGGTGACCAATTATATCCGAACTATGAAATAAGGCCCAACTAACTGAGTATAGGATGTAACAGAAAAATGCAATTACTCCTTCAACAAATACGCCAAATAATATGAGATCAAATATTGCCTCAACGTTCTTATGCCAACAATGCTGCTGAAATGCAAAAATACTTTTGGCCTAAATTTCACTATTTTGAGCTTCAAGGTTATCACATTATATGTGACTTGCAGATGGGTTTGGTTTTTTGTTTTGTTTTTTAAACTAGGAAAAGTTATTAGGAAGTTACTGAAGTTATTAGGAAGCCATAGGCTTTCAAAGTTAGCTGGCTTGACAACTTTTTGATTAAAAAAAACCCATACATGATGGTATATAGATAAAGGGACTGATTTGATTGTATGGCTTACAAACTAAAGAATGAAAATAGAGCCCAGACTCTTTTTGAGATACTGCATACCCTAAGAAACTGCTTTGGCCAGCTGGTATGGCTCAGTGGACTGAGCGTTGTCCCATGGACCAAGAGGTCCCGGGTTTGATTCACCTTCAGAGCACATGCCTGGACCTTGGGCTCCATCCCCAGTAAGGGGGTGTGTAGGTGGCAGCCAATATTTCTATCTCTCCCTCTGCCTTCCTCTCTATCTAAAAATCAATAAAAACATATTTAAAAAAATAACATTCACAGTGTAAGTCCTGGTACATTTGCTTGAAAATGTCACTTGTTTCAGCTTCTCTCATGCTCCTACTGTATGACACCTGAGCTGTTAGAGAAAGAGGACTTGGGCTTAAAGGTATACATGCTTTTCTCCTTAATAGCTCCTACTTGAGGTGGGTGGGCAAATATGAGATACAGGTAAAAAACAAGGGTTTCTGTGAAGTCTGGGGTAACTTCCAGTTTCACTCAGTAGTTTTCTGTGAGCTTCTCTTCAATTAGCAAAACAAACTGAGGCCATAGTCAAAATGCCTTAAATAATAATTGTACAAAGAGCATACTAATGCCCGCCTTGTATGCAAACTCTGGAACTGTGACTGCCCTAGAGCCCTAAACTGAGTAACAGCATTAAAGAGGTTGAACGAGTCATCCTATATCTTTTAAGGTGAGCTTTAGATCCCAAACACCAAAAATGAAAACCTCACCAACAATATCCAAAATATATAAGGAACTCATACAGCTTAACAGAAGGAAGACAATCCAATTAAAAAATGGACAAAGGATCTAAATCAAGCATGTCAAACTTGCAGCCCACATTTATTTAAACAAGGCATGTGGCCCGCCGGCTGTGAGTTTGACATGCTTGACCTAAATAGACACTTCTCCAAAGTGGACATACAGATGGCTAAGAGACATATAAAAAAATGCTCAAAGTCACTGATCATCAGAGAGATGCAAATTAAAAAGACAATGAGGTATCACTTCACACCTGTCAGAATGGCTACCATCAACAAATCAACAAAAGACAAGTGCTAGTGAGGATGTGGAGAAAAGAGAACCCTAGTACTACACTGCTGGTGGGAATACAGACTGGTGCAACCACTATGGAAAACAGTATGGAGTTTCCTCAAAAAATTAAATACGGAACTGCCATTTACCCAGTGATTCCTCTTCTAGGAATATATCCTAAGAAACCCGAAACACCAATCAGAAAGAATGTATACCCCGCCCCCCCCTATATTCATCATAGAAGCACAATTTACAATACCTAAGATCTGGAAACAGCCCAAGTACCCATCAGTAGATGAGTAGATAAAAAAGTTATGGTACATTTACACCATGAAATACTATGCAGCAGTAAAAAAGGAGAATCTTTTACCCTTTGAGATAGCCCGGAGGGACCTTCTCTTCAATTAGCAAATAAGTCAGTCAGAGAAAGAAAAGTATCACATGATCTCACTCATATGTGGAATCTAATTAACAAAATAAACTGATGAACAAAGTGGATCCAGAGACATGGAAGCATGGAACAGAGTGTGGAATCTCGAAGGAAAGGAGGGGAAGAGTGGGTGGTTGGGAGATAATTAACCAAAGACCTTGTATGCATATATGCATAACCATGGACCCAGACAATAGGGTGGTGAGGGCCTGGGGTAGGGGGTGGGCTGGAGGGAGTCAATGGAGGAGAAAAGGGAATATATATAATACTTTCAACAATAAAGAATTATTAAGGAAGAAGGAAAGAAAAACTCACTAAGATAATTTAGGTTGGTGACAATGAAAATGCATCATTCCCGGGAGAACCAAGATGGCGGCATAGGTTAACGGCGGAGTTTGCTGCCTCGAACAACCAATTAAAATTACACCTAAAAGACGGAACGGACATCATCCAGAACCACAGGAGGGCTGGCTGAGTGGAAATTCTACAACTAGGAGGAAAGAGAATATCAT